TTTCCTTCTACATTCTTTTGTTTTACGTTCACTTTGTTACCTATTTTTCTGGTTAAATTACGGTGAAGTGTTGTCACTACTTTCTGCCTCACTTTTTACGTTTGCATTAGCACCAAAAATAGAAGTAATGGCATTGGATTGAAATTAACTTACCCTCCCAATCATTATAACCCTACCACCGAGCCGAGCTATCTGAGAAGCTTGGTTGGCTCCTTTACCCCCGGGACCAGCTTCGAATGATGCTCCCACAACAGATTCACCTGGTCGTGGAAAAGATTTTGTGTAACTGTAAATAAAGCATAATAAGGGTGTCATACTGGTCAATTGACCGCTAACAACGATTTTGCTGTATGATTTTTAATGTTACGCATCTTAATCTTAGCTGATGAATAGTACAAGAACATTTCTAAGCAGCAGAATTGGCAATCAAAATCAATTTTCGTATTAAAGAACTTGCGCAGTTGAAATTACGGAGAGCTGCTAGGCGAAGTTCGGAAAAGATATTAATGCTCTATTAAAAGGACCAATTACTTTGCCGTATGACACTAAACTCGTACTGCTTATTGAGAGTTGCTTTAAGATAAGCGTTAATAGCATAAAAAGACAAGCAGAAAACAGCAGTGAAATATATATTATTTATTAATTCCCGGAAACTTCCAAATTTTCCAATGTTTCCAGCAATCACTTCTTAATTATTGACTTGAATTTGACATTTACTTCTAGTTTTGCAGACTTTCCCTACAATCATTTGAAACAAAAATACCTGTCTGGCAGTAACACTTCAAGATATCTATCCCACTTGCTTTTTTTTTCTTCATTTGATTACTATCTAAACTTGATGTTAACTACAGGCTAGTATTTCTGTTAAATTTCATGCACCAGGAGGATTTTTCTTAAAATTTTTCCACTTCAGTATGAAAAAATTATTGTCGTCATCATTATTTTTCATTTTTCCAGCAAATTCCATTTAAGTTTTGCTTATTTATCCATTTATGAAAGTTTGAAAAATGAAGAAAGAAATCTGAGCAACCGGTATAGCGAAAAGAAGTGGACAAATTAAAACAAATAAAAGGCAGCTGTGTTAAAAACTAAGCGATTATTTGCAAATAAAGACCTACCTAACTAGGTCCTGTACGATACTGCCAAAAACCACAATTTCAGCCTCAGCCATTGTCGCTTTCCTGTAGGTGAAGTTATTAGGTGATAAAACTGCAAAAAAAATTTTTTTACCACTCATTTGTTTCTTTTTTTCTGCAGTCTGATGAGTAAAACATTATACACCAGAATAACACCATTGTTGCTCACCGGAAATGCCAAATAGTTATAGTAATACTAATCAAATAACACGATAGCAAAGAAACATGAAAGGGGAAGTGAGAAACATCTATAACTGAAATTCACTACAGCAATACTATAAAATTGTGCGCACCACCTTTAACTGACTTCAGCATATAACAAGATTTAATTCTGCTCATTACCTTATTGATGTCCTATTATAATGTCGGTGTTGTCCAAATTAGTAGTATTATCATACTGTCAAAAAACCAAAAGTCAGTAACCAAAGAAAAGAAAAAAGAAATCAAAGCAAGGAGCATAATGGAATTGTTGTGAGGTAAAACCCGAAATGTTAGGGATAAGGTGGCAGGAAAGAAGCCTACAGCAACAAATTGAGCACATAATAACAATTTTTTTGTCTTAAAAGTCATTTGTGTTGTACATCGATTCATCGCTAATATTACTTGTTACAGTTATTTTGCAGTAAAAAAAAGTTTCAGTGTTGTAGGAAAAAAAAATTGAAGCACTTTGAAGAGCGAAAGAACTGAAACATTGACCAAACAAAAGGTTTTTGCACGGTTACACCAAATATGAGTAGCAGTATGTGGTTGTCAATTGGAAAGAATTTTTGATAAGGAGTGCCAGGACAACCCTGTCGTAACTGGTAAATCTTTATCGGTCTCTAATAATGGTTTTCTTGTTTGTATACAATTAAATTGTAGAATACAGCCAAAAAGAGAGAAAAAAAAAAAAGATGAATAAACAGAAGCACACATTCTTTTTCTAAAATTGGTTTCAAAAAAGCATTAAATTCTTTTTTTTTTTTTCTAAAATTCCCACTCTTCACTCAC